CCTACAGGGAGGGACACACAAGCAGAACCGAGGGCCGCGTGGTCGCACCCAGCAAGAGATGTGGGGTCCATGCCTGCTCTGGGCCAGGCCCCTCCTCCAGGGCTTTGCAGCAGGCCCTTGGGATCCACGAGCCATTCTGCATCCTTCTAGTACATTCCTTTTTGCCTAGCTCAGCCAGAATCCCTTCTCTCCCTGACACCTGTGGTCGTGAAAAGTCCCCACCCTCCTCTCCAGAAAGGGGTCCGAGGACCTCTGGGAGACCTTCTGGTCTAGAGGTGATGGGCCCTGGCTGTGTGGAGACAGACTCTCGCCCTTAGAGCTGCATTCCATCAGGACAGTTACTATCAAAAACCAACGCTCCCTTAAGCCAGCAGCGATGCCCTTAATTAGCAAGGACACTCACAGAAACAGCACGCCCTCGGGAAAAGGCCAACCCTTGACAGAGAGCAGATTCACCAGGGTCAGACAAAGGCTTCAAATGGCACACTGAGCTGAGCACGCGAGTCCTAGAGTCCCTCCACCGTGCTAAGTCCAGCCCTGCGTGCCCTGGGGTCTCTCCACCCTGAGGACAGGCAGGGGTTTCTCTTCCTCCTGAATCCAAGTGCATTTATCCGAGCCCCGGGGAGTTCCTGTGGGGGGGAAGTTAAATTTATACCTTCCAACAATCTTCCCCCACGTTCCTGCCACCTTCGCCCCAGGCCACGCCTCCTTTTGCCCAAGTGCTCACACAGTTAGCAGATGACACACTGCAGACAAAAGCTGCTCTGTGGCTTTTTTAAAACATTTCGAGTCTGTCCTTCCATTATCCCCAGCCTCTTCTAACATCCTGTGTCTCAGAGGACTCTGGTTCCCTCCGATGAACAGCAAAAATATCCTTCAGTGCCCCTGGAGACCAGGCTGCCGGCTGTCCCCGAGCAGGGCAAATTCCTACTCCATCCAACGCCCCGTCCAAACTGCAGTTCAGCGCCACAGACACATGGGCACGGGCGTGGCGCCCGCGCCATCCCTGGGGTCTCAGCCCCGAATGCACACAGCCTGGCCCGATGGTGCTCACAGGCCGCAGGAGACGTGCAGCTGATGGACACAGGCGTGAGTGACGCACAGGTCACAGGGGCAGACACACGACTCGCCTGAGGCCTGCCAGGCCTCTCCTGACGAAGGGGCATCTACGCTAGGCCCTGAGGGTGGTGGGAGAGACCCAGAGAACCGCCTCTTCTTCACGGGGCCTTCTGCAAAGCCTTCCTTGCAGGAAGGCCACGTTCTGAAAACTCCCTCAGGCTGATGGGCTTGGGGCACGCGTGTTTTTCCCGAGAAACGAGCTTACAGGCAGCAGCACCAGCCCCCGACTGTCTGCAGTGTGCTGCACCAGCCACGGTCACCACGCGCTGCCCAGCGGGTCTGTCGGGAAATTGTCATCCACGCCTGAGGGCCCACAGGACCCTGTCAAGGGAGCCCTCCTCTTCCTCATCGGGAAGTCCCTCCCGTCTGGCCCAACCCCACTGCCTTCGCGGGCAACGCTGCCCGTCACACTGCACCCAGCACCAAGAAGTCCAGGCATCTGTCTCCAGCTCCCCCTCTCCTGCCTTCCGGCGCCCCAGGGGCAGGCGGCTGCTTCCCAGAGACCACGAAGGCCGAGGCCGACTCAGGGCTCTCCTGCCAGCCCCTTCCCCATCGCCCCGGCCACACTCTGCACACCAGCCCCACATCCTCCTTCCCAGAAGCCCTGCTCAGGCCGTGGCTCGCTGCTTCCTCACCTTCAGGCATCCCCCCTCTCAATCCAAGACCCAGCACCCCAGGACCGTTCTCAGCCACCTCCATCCCGGCAGTGAGCAGCATGGTCTTAGGATTCCTCATATTCGCTTATGCAACCACACGCAAAAACCGCCCGTGTTCTGCCTCCACAGAAAGAACACACCCCAAGACCGGCCCGTCTGCCCCACCTGCTGCGGCTTCCTCAATGGTTTCCTCAGTGGAGGAGGACTCGCTCAGAGGCAGGTTCCGGCCTTGACCTTGTGTCGGGCACCTCCTGGCTGCTGGATCCTGGTCACGTGACTTCGCCTCCTTGGGTTTCCTCGTCCGGAGAATGGGGATAACAGGCCTACTTCACAAGTTGGTTTAAACATCTGTCCCCAAATCCGGCTGAATGGGGAATCACTGGGAACCCAAGTCTCAAGTAACTCCTGTGTATAGTCAGATTAGAAAACCGCAGTTCCACCAGGCACAGGGCCTCACACCTGTCATCCCAGCATTTTGGGAGGTGGAGGTGAGAGGAATGCCTGAGTCCAGGAGTTCGAGACCGGCCTGGGCAAATTGGCGAGACCTCATCTCTACAGTACATCACAAACATTAGCTGGGTGTGGTGGCGCACCCCTGTGGTTCCAGCTACTTGGAAGGCCAAGGCAGAAGGATTGCCTGAGCCCAGCAGGTGGAGGCTGCGGGGGTTGTGAGCGTGCCACTGCACTCCAGCCTGGGCAACAGAGTGAGACTCCTACTCAAAAAAAAAAGAGAGAGATGAAAAAGAAACCGCAGCTCCACGAGGTGCCTGACATATGAATGCTCCACACCTGGTCACCCCAGGAAGCAAGGCTCCCACCCTCAGAGACAGCTGACGCAGGCAGACCTGCAGAAGAGCGCCCAGGCCTCAACCACACACCAAGGAGGCACAGGACATGGCGTCCCCCGGTGAAATCGCCAGAGCCCAGAAGGCAAACAAGCAACTGGCCGGTGAGAAGTCCGTTAGTGACGAGTCACACCTAGTGACGAGTGCAGGGTGACAGAAGCTCCTTTGTCCAAAGCGTCACACTCAAGGATCAGTGACTGCTGGCCGCGTCAACGGGTAAGGGGCCTCAGAAACAGCTGGCCACCAGTGAAGAAGCCGGCCACTCGCTCTGCTGCCCCAACCAGCCTCGTGCATCGGGAGCTGAGAACAGTGACGTCAGCAACAAGTCGTCCTTCAAAACAAGCGGTCTTCCCCTCCTGTCAAGTCTCTCCCCAGGGGTAGCAGAAGCTGCCCATCCTGCTCCTGCGACCCCAGCTCGCGACGAGACCCCGGACCCAGACGCACACGGTACACCCTCAAGGAGCAAAGGCCGGGGGATGCCAGGGCACCTGCTTCCCAGACTCTGCGGGTTTCATGAGGAAGAGGGTCACACTAGCTCCACCGAGGCCCGGGACTCAAGCCCCCAGGCAGAAGCCAGAAACGCCACAGAGCACACAGTCGGATCTGATTCCTTCCCCAAAGCCCAGGAGCAGCCTGGAAACCCAGGAATCCCACCTGTAAAAATCAGTCCACACGTCCTCCAACATGTGAGCAAAATCATGTAAAAAGATTTGCTGTGTCACCGGGCACAGCGGCTCACACCTATAATCCCAGCACTTTGGGAGGCCACGATGAGATTGCCTGTGCCCAGGAATTCAAGACCAGCCTGGGCAACCTGGCGAGACCTCGTCTCTATAATAAAAATGTTAGCGGGGCACAGTGGCGCACCCCTGTGGTACCACACCCCTGTGGTTCCAGCTACTCAGGAGGCTGAGGCGGAAGGATCGCCGGAGCCCAGCAGGTCGAGGCTGCGGTGGCCGTGAGTGTGCCACTGCACTCCAGTCTGGGCGACAGAGTGAGACTCTGACTCAAAAGACAAAAAAAAAGTCTGCTGTGTCATGATTCTAGTAGCAAAAAATACTGGATACTTGCCAAGGGCTCATCAAGAGGGGCCTGGTTACACAAATTATGCACCCTCTCAGGGACAGCAGGCAGGGAGACCTCAAGGCAGACAAGTTTCAAGCTGCATATTTTAACTTACAACTTTTACCCACAAAAAGGACTAACTACAAAAGAAGTCCTCCATACAAAACAGGGTGCATTTTCCATTCATAAAGAGCATCTACTGCCACTCTTGCCTTGCCAGGTCACAACTCAACAGCTCGTTTTATTTATTTTTTATTTATAATTGTAGAGATGAAGTCTTGCCAAGCTGTCCGGGCTGGTTTCAAACCCACAGACTCAGGCAATCCACTCACCTCGGCCTCCCAAAGTGCTGGGATGACAGGCTGAGCCACTGAGCCCGGCCCAATAGCTTGTTTCAGTGAAATTATTCCTGAAAGATAGGCAACCCAGACAATACACCATCAGCTCCCTAACCGCATTTAAGAGGAAGAATTTAACAACCTTCTGCCTTGAACTGAAGCGTTCTAGATGCTTATAAACCTTCAGAACCCTGACCGCACCGAAGCCACTGAGTCAGCAGGGGCCCCCGGGTGGTGAGACGCCCGCTCAGCATCAGAATCTCCCAGCACAGACTCCTACAGAGTGCACGCGCGACCAATAGGAATGATGGCTTCCAAACTTTTGAGTGGCTTTTATTGTGGCCACCAGGCAGCAGCAGAATATGTGATGGTTAAGGTTCAGACTCTCCTTGCCAACTTTATCACGTAGATTAAATATGGAGAGTTAGACACAAATTTGGCTTTGTTTTGTTTTGTTTTTGAGTCAGGGTCTCAGTCTGTCGCCCAGGCTGGAGTGCAGTGGCATAATCACGGCTCACTGCAGCCTCACCCTTCTGGGTTCAGGCAATCCTTCCGCCTTAGTCTCCCAGGTAGCTGGGACTACAGGCATGCGTCACCACGCCTAGGTCATTTTTTGATTTTTTTTTTTTGCAGAGACAAGGTTTCGCTAATGTTGCCTGAGCTGGTCTGAAATTCCCGGGATCACACAATCCTCCCACCTCAGCCTCCAGGCGTGCTGGGGTTCCAGGCAGAAGCCAGTGCGCCCGACCGAACAAACTTTGCACAACATGACGAGCTGCTCTCAAACTCTCGCTGCCCAGCAGAGCCCAAGCACGCTGCTGAGCGTGGCAGGAGCAGGCACGCTGTCGGACCACAGCGCCCCCTGAAGGAGACGGGGCGATGTGTCGAAGCCTTTCCAGGTGGCCCACAGTGCGGCAGCCACCCAACACCGCTCCCAGTGTCGGCTTTCAGAAGAAAAACACAAAATAACTGTGTGAAACACCGTGCCTTCAAAAAACTTTATTTGGTGATGAGCCAAGCTCTGACGGCAAAAGCCCGCCTGTGAAAAAGGAGTGGTGGGCACTTCAGCGGGGCTGGTTCACCGAGCTTGGACAGTCACAGCCCAAAGCAACAAAGACTTCAACACAAACGATTCTCAAACCATCACAGCCCATCAGTACGCGAGACTCACTGAGACGTGCTCGAATCAGCTCTAAGAAAGGACGACCTACGTGCAGTGGGGCCGCGCCATCCTCACGACGAACGAGACCCTCGGCCGAAAGAGGGGCAGGGGAACAACGGACGTGAGGGCGACGTCCTCCCTCAGCCATCGTCAGGGACCACCAGAAGGATAAGACGGGGTCAAGGGCAGGAGCCGCTGGGGGCACACCTCCTCGGAGACGACATGGGAACCCCCAGCCTCGCCACCAGCCACTCTGGCACGGAGCAGTCACCTCCGTGCAAGCCACCAGGGGTCCCGTGTCAACCCAACCGGAGTCAGGGGCAACTCCGCTGCAGCTCCGAGCACCTCGCTCAGGGAAGAAACACCCAGCAACCAGCCATGCCTCAGCAAGCCAATCTGTGGCCCTGACTCAGTGGCGCTTTCTGACAAAAGCATCCGAGAGGCGGAAACGGCTGCGACCGTCGCCAGGTCAAGGAGTCCCCAGGCAGAGGCAGCTCTTCAGCCACTGTTCCGTCCTCTCCCGGCGGTGACGGCTCTGCCACCAGCGGGCTGTGGGAAGAAGTCCTCCGTGACCGACCCTTGGCGAAGTCAGTACATAGGAGAGCTTGTGAGAGGCAGAACCTCGACAGGGCGAGCTCCCCTGGCGGCAGGGTGGGAAGCGCAGGCGGGCCTGTGTGCAGGGAGACAAGGGCCCCGCTGACAAGGCATGGCCCCGGCCCAGCCCAGCCCCAGCAGGAGCTGCCAAGCCCCATCACCCAGGTGGGGGGGAGGAAGAGAAGACACCAGAGTCGGTTGTGAGAACAGCACAGTTGGTATTTGCTCTTCATAGCAGTAAGGGCTCGAATGCAAATCACAAAACGAGGACACACGTTTCCTTCAGGATTTAAAAAATGCTGTCTGGTCCTGAAAGACTACATTCAGCGTGGGTCGGGTCCAGAGCGCCAGCAAGCTCAGGTGGTGGCACCGGTGCGGGCGCAGCCTGCGGCGCGGCTCCGTCACTGGTCTCCAAGCCGGAAGCCCTGGCCCCAGTGGTGTCTCCCGCCTCCGCCGTTCTGGTCGGCAGCTCGCCTCATGCTGGCGGGGGGTGCGCCGAACCCCGACACTCCTCCTCTCCGGCTGGGCAGCCAGCGGTACCTAGAACAGAGAAGGGGACGGGGAGAGGGCAGTCACTCCGTGGCCATCTGACCTTGGCCCAGCTCCCTGTCCGGGAGCCCCAGGGCACCTGTCATGCTGAAGGCCAGGGCCAGTGTCCTACTGAACTCTGCCAACGTGCACTTAGCTCAAGGCTTGACCACTGACGACATTTGCTTTTCATGTTTCCCAAATTTGTGAAGTTTCAGCCAAATTCACACTCTCTTTCTTTCTGACTATAAAAGCCACCCATATAGAAGAGAATGGAAGCGAAAGTATGACAGCCACAAGTACCATGACCAAAGAACAACTGGCAGCATCACGGTATCTCTAAGCTCGAATCAAACTGGATCCAAGAACACAGAGCAGACTCCCGGCCCAGGGCAGCCCCACGCCGCCTGCATGAGCCCCAGCGGCACTCCACGCGGCTTCCGGCTGGCCCATCAGGGACGGCTGGGCAGGAGGCGTCCTCCCTGGGAGCTCCCAGGTTCCGCACACTCTGCCCGCCAAACGTGTTCTGCCCATCTCCGGGACAACGGGGAAGGGAAGGCCAAAAGGTCAGATGACTTCCCACTTTATAGATTAATACAAGAAGAGTCACGGCACAGGGCCTGTGCTCTCCACAGTCTCATCCAGCGACTTCCTGTCCTTGACTGTATCGTGAAACCGAGAACATGCTTCCACTTGTTCCGCGCCCAGACCCCAGTACTTACATTCTGCTCGGAGGCCGCGGCATGATCTGACATCCCCGCCCAAGCCCTCTGGGCACCACGATGGGCGACCCGCCCCAGAAGAAAGCCTCCAGGACACGGCCTGACCCAAAAGTGGTCACCGCCTGACTTTATCCAATGCCCCCCCAGGGAGCTACCCATGTGCAGCCTCACCCGGCCCTCACAACAGCCCTGCAGGCAGGCACTGCCATTCCTGCCCCTTTACTGGCAAGAACACTGAGCAAAGCAAAGGCCAGGAGCCAAAGCTGGGCAGCCCGGTTTCAGAGCCCGCACCCACACCTCGGCACCACACACCTCCCGCTTGGGAAGGACAGTGGCAGGCAGCAGCTAGTGACTGGAGGCCTCCCCTGTTTACACTGGACTCCAGAGAGGTGTCAACAGCTTCATGGCCTTGCCAAGAAAGGCAGCGACCCCGTTTAAGCATGAAATTAACCATGTACGGAAAAGATATGGCTGGGCGCAGTGGCTCACATCTGTTATCAGCACTTTGGGAGACCGAGGCAGTAGGATCGCTTGAGGCCAAGAGTTCGAGACCAGCCTGGACAACACAGCGAGATCCTGGTTCTACAAAAAATAACAGTAATTTAAAAAGGAAAAGATATAACTACTTTTCTAAATGGAAAGCGAAACACTGGTACATCTTAGAATTCCACAACTCACCTCTTCCCTTTTAAACAATACAGCCTTATCATCCAATCAAAACACACTTCTAAGCGCTGGTTTCACAACATTCATGACTTCTGGTACCATTAACATTTCTCCCAAGTGCACGATGAAACAGAACCCTGACAGAAGGCAGCACGAGGGCTGCCTTGCTTTGCTGCTACTCTTAGACAACATGGAAGGCATTTCTACTGCCTGAGCAGATAGTGACATTAAATGCAAGTAGTTAGTACAAAAAGACACTCAATTATACATAATCAACAAAAATTTACGGTAATTTCAAAGCAGTTACTGCTTCTGCGAGGAGCTGTATGTTGTCATCTGATCTTTATGCAAAATTCCACAGAAGGGCTTCTACAACAGAAGGGAGGTACAGGCTTGGCGTGATCTCACATACCCTGCTGCCCACAGCTGAGAGCCACCTGCAGGTCACTAAGTCAGGATATGCCACTTAACGTGAAGTAACTGTTGACTGCCCCCCAAAGCGCCAAGCTTTTTTTAATTGACGCATCTGCCATCCTACTTGATAAACTAGATCAGAAATCCAAACCTGCTGTCATTATGTCCTTTGATAATTAGAAAGCAGATTGGTCATTTGTTTTTTAGCCTGAAGGCAACTCAAGGCTCAGAAGAGAAACAAGTTTCTTCTTATTCTTTTAAAGAAACACACACCACCACCACCACCACCACCAGTGATACTGCCCTTCTCTGTATTACAGTTCACACTAAAAAAAGCCTTTTGAAGCCGGGCACAGTGGCTCATGCCTGTAATCCCAGCACTTTGGGAGGCAGAAGTGAGAGGACTACCTGAGCTCACGGGTTTGAGACCAGCCTGAGCAACATGGCAAGACCTCGTCTCTACAATAAATCAAAAAATTAGCTGGGCGTGGTGGCACATGTCTGTGGTTCCAGCTACTTGGAAGGCTGACACAGAAGGTTCTCTCTCTCTCAGAGGTCGAGGCTGTGGTGGCCATGAGTGTGCTATGACACTCCAGCCTGGGTGACAGAATGAGACTCTGACTCAAAAGAAAAAAGCCTTTTGAAATCATACCCACCCTGGGGGGTGAGGCAGAGGGGCCCGTTAGAGTCGACTGCCCTCATGGACCCCTGGAAACATTAAGGTGAGTGAGCTAGGAAGGGTTTTCTAGGCCTTTACGTGAAACTGTGGCTGCATGTCCCGACACAAGACCAGGTGAGTCCATCAGCAGCTGACACTCAGATGGCAACTTCGCCGGTCCCACCCGCAGCAGCCTCGTGCTCTGGACAAAACGGCAATGGCCCCTCTGCAAGACCACGGGGGCACCCCTCCTCACCGGCAGGGCAGGCTGTGCTCCGCACCGAGCCCCGCCACCACAGCCCCAACGGCATGGCGCCCGTGCCACGCTGGAGACAGACGGGCCCAAACGGAGGGGCGGACGCCCAGCTAAGCGGCTCCCTCAGCACCAACACTGGTGTCCGAGGGGGGCGGGATTCAAGCCACGCCTGCCCTCTGCCTCCTCAAGCCAGTCCACCCTAAAGCTGACAGAGGGCAGGGGCTGGGGTCGGGCAGGCACAGCTGGCCTCTCCCGCGATTCGGAGCATCCACCCGGTCTCTCCTCGGAAACTCAGAAGCGGGGGGCGAACGCCACGCACTTGCACTCACACTGGTCATGGGGCTGCGCAAGGGGCACATGGACACACAGAGAGCAGCAGACACGAGACTCCGAGGAGGGAAGAGGGTGCAGGCTGAAGAACCACCTCCGGGTGCAAGGCTCACACCTGGGGGATGGACGCACAGAAAGCCCAGGCTCCACCACTGTGCGGTCTGTGCACGCTTAACTCTTCAGATAAAAAAACCATGGTCTGTGACACATAATCTGAAAGTGTTTAGAATCACCGAACAACGGGCCAACTTGTCCTCCTGTGGCCGAAACCCGACCCTCCCAGGAGAGACCCTGTTGCCCTGCTCCCCACGACCCAGCTTGGCACACCGAGCTGCCTTAGGGCCCCAGGCGGCCCAGAGGGGCTGGCACGCCGCCGTGACGCCACAATCGACTCATCTGGGGTCCCCAGAGGCAAGGGTGCAGGGAGGGAAGCAGGCCTGGCTTCGGCCTCTGGCCTCCTGTGACTGTGCGACTAGGGCACGCCACCTGTGGGCTCACATTTCTCCATGTGATGGGTAAGCCCTCCTCCTCAGGGAGCTTCTCACGGGACATGTGAGAACACAGAGAAGCAGGGGAAATGGGAAAAACACTTACAGAAACTGAGGTGTGGATAGGAAGTTTCTTCCTCCCAAGTCCATCGGGTATCTGAACATTAGGAAGAAATAAAGATGTCCGACGAGATTTCCGATAAGCTCATTGATGACCCTGCAAACAGAGAGCCAAGTGAGTTGCAAGGCATCCAGGCAGACCCAGGAGATGCACCAAGCCTGAATTCGGAGCACAGGGGCAAGACCCTTCTCTGCAGCCACTGAGCCCCTGGGATCGGGGACAGCTTCCACAGGCCCCCTGCCCGGAGTGGCAACTGCATTCGGGGGGGGTCGGTCCTGCTGACCCCGAGGCCCGAGGCCCAGAGCCAGCAGCCCCTGCCACCTCCTCGAGCACAGCCCCTCTTCAAGGCAGCACTCCTGCTGCTCCTGCCTCGGGTGCTGGGGAAGCTCAGGGCCAGCTTGCGAGAGCCTCGGCCGTGAAGACTGCGCTTGCGGGACACGGCCACACCTGCAGGCACCAAGGAGACGCGCAGGCGTGAGTGCAAGGCAGGCAGCACATGCCTGCTGTCCCGGGAGCTGTGGCGCACGTCCCTGTCACCTCCCACGGGAAGGACCACGGAGGCCGCCCAGAAAGCTGGCCTTGACCCTGGAGCCCTAAAGCAACACAGGCTTCACACGAGGACTCACACGTGGGTCCCCTCGAGACCCTCAGGCCCCGTTCCTGCCTACAACACCCTTCTTGGTCTTGGCCGGCAAGGCCACTCCTGTCAGGGACACATCGCTGCCTGCCACTCCCCGCCGCTCTGCCGCTGGGTAGGGGCCTGTGCTGCCACGCTCTGCACACGCTGTGCTCTTGTCTGGCTGCTGCCCATGTCCACTCCTCCCCAGCAACAAGCAGAAGCTAGGGCCACCAAGAACAAATATGCTGGGTATCTGAAGAAACATGCTCATAAGTCTGTTAAAATATTGACAATACTTTGTAGCACAAGAAATGGGAGTTCTTAGAATAGCTGCCTTAGTGTCCTCCCTTTAAAATTCAGACTGGTCAAATTCAAGGTTTTCCTAAGTTTCAGTTCTAACCCCAAATCCAAAATCTGACCCTGCTTGGCCAAAACTTCTATACTATCCATCAACCCACTTACAAAAGGACATTGCATCTGAGAACCTGCACTTCTTTCTCTCTGACGGGTCAGCGGTTTCCAAGGCATGGAAAAGCCTTAACAACATAAGACAAAGGACTTTCACGTAGCTCCTCGAGCAGTCAGTCAGCCACAACGTAAGTCTGTGTGAGTGCAGGCTGGAGCATGAACCCAGAAACGCATGCTTATCCAAACACAGGTTCACAGGAGCGTCCTGTCCACCCACAGGCTAATGAAATCCCACGTCCAGTGTCCATGTGCTGAAAGCCCTGCCACTTAATCAGTTCCATCACAAGGCAAGCATTCCTAAGTGTGAGGTTCTAATACGCCAATAAGGAACATCTTTAAAGTTCTATAAAGATTAAAGAAAGAAGATAACTTCAATAAGCAATTTCCAGGAATCAGTCTCCAGTTAAGTAAGCCCAGGACCACTTACGAGCCGCCGATGATGTAGTTGAATCCCAGGATAACCCATGGCAAATAGCAAGCCTAGGAAGAACAGAGGAGAGGTGAACAGCCGCATCGAAGGGGACGAAGCTACTGCAGGGCTGGGGGTGGCGGACAGCACTTCCCTAAGCCCTTTGGAAGGTCACTGCAGAACTCCTCGGGTCAGCCTGGCATCACTCCGACTGTCCTTCAAGCTTCCTGCCTAAAGCCACCCCTAACTGCAGGTCTCTCACTAGAAGCAGTTCAGATGCAGTATGTGCCTGCTGACCTAACCCTAACAAACGGCTTCCGAAAGTAGGTGCGTGTCCTAGAGGCTACGGAGAACAAGCGTACCAGCATCACACTAGGATTCCCACCAGCACAATGTAATCAACCCAAGACACCACTTTTTTACGGTTCTCCTTCTACACATCTTGCAAAATCACTTGAATCTTACCTCATCACACACTGACATCCTGAGCTAACACTCCCCCTGGCAAGACAGTGCCCAGAGGAGACACTGGAGTCTTGCCGAACTCAGGGCATCACACCCAGAGCTGGAGGCTGCAAGGACCTCCTCAAACCAGTGGAGAGGGTCACGCCTACAGAGCCTCCAGGCCACGTGCGGCAGGTGTGAGAGGAGGGAGTTCGAGTGCTGCAGAAGCCCGGGGAGAGACCGACTCCAGGAAGAAGACCGAGACCCTCGGACGACCTCCCCGGGGGAGAGCAGGAAGGCGCGAAGAGCCTTGCTGGGGGCGCACGGCCATCCGCCCCCGCTAGAGGGCAGCCAGGGGCGAGGCAGAATTCACAGGCGGGGCTCCCATGGGCACCTCCCTCTCTCTCCCTCTCCCTCTCCCTCTCTCTCCCTCTCCCCCCCCACACACACACGCGCGCGCGCGCGTGCGCACAGTAATGCAGACACGTCCCTGCGGGCCTGAGGCCCACAGCCACTGGGGATGGCACAGCCATCAGCAAGGGACTCTGGGCAGGCTCTGCGAGAGAGCTGGGGTTGAGGAGGGGCCCGGGCTTGCCTATGGTTCCCTGCTCTGCAGTGGCCTCTTCTGGACGAGTCAGAAAGTGCACCTCCACGCTGAAGAGGAACGTCTGCAGAGGCCAAGGGAAAGCATTTTCCCAACCGAGATGCAGTACCTTAAATCGTGTCCCAAACCAGAACGACACAACCATGTCTCTGTTCAGCTGGGCCCAGACATAAAGTACTGACATGATCAGAGGAATCATCAGCAGCTGCAAAGGAAAAGAACACGTGAACACGGGGCTGAGGCACTTGGGAGAGGCACGACGTCCGTCCTGAGGCCCCGCCCTCCGAGGGCCTCTCATGGACACGAGGAAAGGCCACGGGGTAGAAGGATGCACCGACCCTCTTGCTTTATCCTGCAAGGAACTCCACAGAGCTCTACAATAAAATGCAGCACAGCCAGGCTGCCTGAGATTACATGGATTCAGAAACAGGGTCAAGCTCGGTTACTCATAAAAAGTAGGCCAAAAAGCTTTCCCTAGCATATAATCTCAATTTTTAAAAATACATACTACAGCTGGGCTCGGTGGCTCAGCCTGTAATCCCGCGCCTTTGGGCGGCTGAGGTGAGTGGATTGCCTGAGCCCACGGGTTCGAGACCCGCCTGGGCAGCGAGACCTCATCGCTACAATAAATCAAAAAAATTAGCCGGGTGTGGTAACACGTGCCTGTAGTTCCAGCTACTTGGACGGCTGAGGTGGAAGGATCGCCGGAGCCCAGCAGGTTGAGGCTGCGGTGGCCGGGAGCGGCCACTGCACTCTAGTCTGGGCAACAGTGAGACTCCAACTCAAAAAAAAAAAAAAAAATTAAAAAATTAAATAAAATAAAATAAAAATAAAAATACATACTACAGACATGCCTAGAAACTACTGCTACTCTCAATGTTCGAACACCATAAAGAAGCCAGAAATGAGTCAGAAAAGAAACGACTTGGATAACTTATGTAAGATCTTCAAAGGCCACGAGTCTATAATTTCAACATACCCATAATTAGCCATAATTAGCCACACAGTCAATGCAATGTCAACTTCTGTTGGAGGCCATTAATAGTTACTTAAAACATATCAAAGGGCAAACAGTTTAAAGGGACACGTACCTGCATATCCATTGCTAAGCCAGTGATCTTGGTTTGTAAAGTTAAAGACATATCACAAGGCACTCAGCACCTAGTCCAGACTGAGCTGGTTACTTCCCCCATTTACAAGTTAAGTTCGCCTCCATAATACATCAAGAAAAAGTAGCCAGGTGAGATGGCACACTCCTGTAGTTTCAGCTACTTGGAAGGCTGAGGTGGACAGATCGCCTAAGCCCAGCAGGTCGAGGCTGCGGTGGCCGGGAGCATGCCACTGCACTCCAGCCTGGGCAACGGAGTGAGACTCTAACTCAAAAAAAATTTTTTTTAATTAAAAAAAAAAAAAAAAAAGTTCACTCCAGTGTTCTGAAGGAAAATCTTTTTCTATCGTTCATATTGCTTATGACGTCAAAGAGCACAAAGGCGTCCAGCCACAAGCATCCCACGAGACCACACTGGGACAAGAAGTGGCAGCCCTAGTGCCAGCACACAGCTCCGCTGGTCACTGGATTCCTCTTCTCCTTGCCACTGCTCTTTGGAATCTCTCCTTCAAACAGAGGTGGAGATGCCTGTGCCCTTGAAAGACACAATGACCACCGCATTCTCACAAGTCTACGGCATGGCTGAAGTCTAAAATAATTGTTTTCCTTCCCTTAAAGGAGGGGAAAAGGCATCCCTAGTGCCACACTTTCTGGCTCTTGGCCAAGTTTTGATGGACGCCAGGCCCAAGTCACTGTGCGTCCCTCACACTGCACAGGACTCGAGGCGTGAGAGCTGCTGCCCCCATCCACGGCTGACACTGAGCAGGGAGACGGATGTGCCGCTCCCAGGCAGGGCGCTCCCCAGAGGACCACACTACAACAAGGGCCCAAAGAAGGCCAGCAGTGCAGTCAGAGGAAGAACAGCCGTGGCTGCAAACTTGTTTTCTAATCAGGACCACAGATCCCAAAGCTGCCTCATGGCACGGGTCTCCATGTGCATCAGTCAGCAAGCTGTCACACAAGTGACACAGCGAGTCAGGAACAGAGGGAGCTGGAATAAAGCCTAGGCAAATGTGGAAAAAACCACACACAGGCAATGGGGAGGGAATGCATTGCTTGAGGGCCACATGATTTATTGCATCTCTTAAAAAGAACTTTTAACAATTAATCATTAACTGAGGAAACAAAGATGCCAACGCTGCCGTGTAAAATTGCTAGGGAATACTGTCCACCTCCCCAAACCTGCGAAAAGGGGGCTCCATCCAGCCCAAGAGCAGACTGAAGGATACCACGATGCAAGTCCAGTTGAAGAGGAGCATGAACAGATAGTCCGCTGGCCTCCCATCAAAAGCTCCTGGAAGGAAAAGCAAGCCAGCGTCAGGGACCCAGCACAGGAACAAAGTCAGAACTATGTAGAGAAAAACTTCAAAAATTATAGAGAAAGCCAAAGTGAGGACCTTTTAAAAATCACTCCTCTGAAAAAAGAAAGGAAAAAAACTGCTCCTCCGATAAGGGAATTTTTTAAAACATCTAAACCACATCCTCAATAAAGCCCTAACCCACAGTCCCTGGAGTAAGGCTAATCTGGGCTCTCCCGACTGAACTCCAGCGAGTACCAGGCTCTGACAACCACAGGCCAAGACAGGTCCCCAGGGAGGACAGCCGATCCACGGTGACGGCCCCTTCCCCACGAGGCCCCCATGTCCCTCCCTACCGCCAGCCTCTCCTGCACAGCTCTCGCTGGGACTGATGGACACAGCCGGGATCACCTGGCTCATCCCTGTCTCCCTCCACTAGACCACAAGCTCCATCAGAGGAACCACATCTGCCCTATCTGCCACTGTCTCCTCCAGCACGACTGGGCTGGGAGATACTTACCATTACTGACACACACACCCCCCCCACTTATCCATACTCTGCCTCTCTCCCTGTCCCCGCCTTACCATCAGAAAGACAACAGGCTTCCAGAAGTCTCTCCTCTGCTGTTCCCCTTGCTGCCTGAAGGGACATCGGTCACAGCACTAGGAATGCCCAATGCTAGAGGAGCAGCGTGACCAATCAGGGCCGAAATGCTAACAGTTTCTGATCTTTTTTTTTTTTTTTTTTTAGTTGGAGTCTCACTCTGTCGCCCAGACTGGAGTGCAGTGGCCGCTCCTGGCCACCGCAGCCTTGACCTGCTGGGCTCCGGCGATCCTTCCACCTCAGCCTTCCGAGTGGCTGGAACTACAGGCGCACGCTACCACGCCCGGCTAATTTTTTGATTTATTGTAGAGATGAGGTCTCGCCCAGTTGCCCAGGCGGGTCTCAAACCCGCGGGCTCAGGCAATCCACTCACCTCAGCCTCCCAAAGCGCGGGATTACAGGCTGAGCCACTGAGCCCAGCTAACAGTTTCTGATCTTAACAGTAGTTGTACTTCTGATGTGGCCTGGCTTTGAGCTTCCTCAGATCGAGTACTTAAAATACTGCAATCATGTTAATTATAGTACTAGAGTATTTGGCATGCTTGCAACTGGGGATTTACAAATTAACTGGTCTCAAACTGTAGTCTTCCAGTTCAAATCTGAAGCCTCACAAATAAGCCTATACTGCTATATACCACCTATTTAACCAGGCAGGAAAATGTGCAAGGGGAAACATTCTGTGAAAATGTCAACTGAAAGTGGAGGGAAAACTGAGAAGCCATGAACCTGGGTACCAGGCCCAGCTATTAGTTATAGCATGTGGCTTTGTGCTCTTGGGACATGTCACCACCACTCCAGACCACTGTTTTGTCTGGAAAATAAGAGGGTTAAATCGAATGATCTCAAAATTCCTGTCTATACTAATGTGCATAGCAGCATTAGTCATTATAGCCAGAAGACAAAACCAAGACAAATAACAACTGATGAACAGATAAATAAAATGTGGTATATCCAATACAGTAGAAATTTGGCAGTAAAAAGGAATGAAGCACCAATACATGCTACATGGAAGAACCTTGAAAACACTATACTGAGTGAAAGAAGCAAGTTCAAAAAGAACACACACTGTACGATGTCATGAGAAATGTACCGAACAGGCAAAACTAAAGAGACAGGAAATAGATTAGTGGCTTAGGAAGGGCTACGGGGAAGAGAGAGGCTGAATAGAAATGGGGAGTGGCTGATATGGAAAATGTTTCTTCTGGGGTGACGAATGTCATGAAATGAATCGTGATCATGACTGTGTGGCTCGTGACTGCACTCAAAACCGATGAGCCGTGCACACCGCGCGGGAGTACTGGATGGCATGTACGCGTACCTCAATAAGCGCTTTAAAAGATGCCTCTTAGTTTAAGCACCTCTAAATGCTCTCTGGCTGGGGAGCAGGGAACAGGGGCAACACCTAAGAATTAAAGCAAATGAGGAGTCCAAGGGCCTAGGAACCCTGCCACTGTGTTTTCAACGGTACTCAGGCAGAACATTCCAAGAGGATGCACAACCCCGAAACATAAGGGGGATGGGTAAGTGGGTCCAAGGACCTCATGTGAGCCAGAGAAGGCAAACATCACCAGCGGTCCTGGAATTGCTGCCATTTAGGGTTAACAGCAGTATTTGATTTTAAGTTCTTATGTTTCAGAGGTAAATCCTGAAATACTTATGAATGGAATATCACGCATGGTGCTTTGCTTCAAATATCAGGATGGGGTGAGGAGGGTCACAGTCACAGAAAAAACAAGACTGGCTGTGAGACAGGGTCAGCAGTAAAGACAACAGATGATTCAACAGGTTCACACTGACACATGATCACACGCGGGCAAGCCGTGACAACACTGTGCTAAGGGAAAGCAGTCAGTCACAAAAGAACACACGAAACGCCCTCAACAGGCAAATCCTCACACACACAAAGCAGAGTGGTGACTGCCAGAGACAGGGGGAAGGGAGGATAGTGCACAGAGAGGCACAAGGCGTAGGGGTGATGGAAATGTTCTGGAATTAGACTGTGGTGATGGTTGCATAATGTGAATGTACTACAGACCACTGAACTACACACTTTAAAATGGCTAGTATAGTGAATTTTATTTTATTTTATTTCTTTTGAGTTGGAGTCTCACTCGGTCGCCCAGACTAGAGTGCAGTGGCCGCTCCCGGCCAC